ATGGTTCTGAATAAAAGGCTGTTTTAAACCAGAACATGAGAAATTGTCCATGGAGAGCTGCCACTAATCAGTACAGAGATAGCTGGACCAGTGGCCTGAATCAGCAGAGTTTATGTTTTCATATTAATGGGTTGCCAGGATGGACATACAGTCCCAACATTTTCTCCCAGGAGCAGAATCAGGCCTCTCTCTGGTCTGGAGTAATTGCTCCTTGGCAAGGCGAGCAAGAAAGCTTGGCTCAATGAGCATGGTCTCAGCCTGGTTAATGGATCATTAGTTTCAAGGCTGAGATTAGATTCCTCTTTCTGGATTAGAAAAGCAAGGGAAAAGCCTTTTAGCACACAGAAGGCTCACATCAACTTTGACTCAGGGTCATTGGTGGCTGGAGACAGCTGGGAAAGGTCTGCTTTATCTCGTCCTGGCCTTTCTGTGGTGGAGAGGAACAGGAAAACAGACAGAACACTTGAGAATCAAAGGCAGTCCATTCATCAGCAGTTATCTCTCTTGGAGTGGAGGGAAGAAAGCTGGGAAGAAGCCAAGTGACCCATAAACAGGGTGGGGGTCAAAGATTTCCATTAGGTACTCCCAGATGGTTTTATCTCAGATTTCTTGTCTCTCTCAGTCCAGACTCCGCACAGCTAGTGAATGGAAAAAAGCCTGGTTTGGGGCAGGGAGTGTTTCTCCTTGAGTGACCTCCAAGGGCTTATGGTGTCAGGGTGGTGAAGGAAAAGTCCAGATTTGGAAGAGGGAGGTAAGCATTCCTTCCCACTTCATCAAAGTGTCTCTCTGTGTGGTCTTCAGACACATACACTACTCCAGTGCCCATGTTTGACACAAGGGTTAATTAGGAAATGTCAGCAGAACAGCAGGGAAGCGATACCTGTTGAACTTATGGGGGGGAAGGGCAAATACAAGGATCAAGGGAACTGATTTGTTTGGATAAGAATGGCAGACAATTTAGAAAGCATTTGGAGAAGGGAGGGCAAGGTGCCTCTAAGCTGTTGATGCAGCCCTTTAGTACCGCAGTGAGTTGCTGAGAGAGAGGATCACTTGGTTAATCCATTTTAAAAAAATGGACCTCAATGATACCAAAAGGATCTGATTCCAGTTTCCTTAACTATTAGAAAACCTGATGCCAGAAGGTCTACTTTTGTCTAAGTAGCAAGGAACCATTTAATCATAGGATGTCCGCAGCAGATTGTGGGTTCCAGGTTATCTTTAAATGTACCTGATTTCTTGAAATTTGAAGTTCTTAAGCTATGGCCTGGAAAAGAATGTTCTGAGATTTGTTGCTGCTGTGTGCTTTCAAGTCATTTCCAACTTATGGAGACCTTAGCACAAATTTATCATGGGGTTTTCTTGGCAAGATTTGTTCAGAGGAGGTTTTCCTTTGCCTTCCTCTGCAGCTGAGAAAGTGTGACAAGCACCCTCACATTGAGATTTGAAAGAAGTGGGAAAAATTGAGTAAGGGAAAGAGCACTACAGAAAGAGATGTCATTAACATTCCCTTTATTTATATTATGCCTTTTCCACAGAACTGGGAGTTAAGGGGCCTCCTTTGGAGCTGCCTAGTGCAATACAAAATAATATCTGACTTTTAAGAAACATGAAAATTAACAGCATAGAACTAGGATTGTCCTGACCTCTGAGGAGGTGATGTACCTACCATCTGAAAACTTCCATTCTATTCCTCCCATAAAGTTGGCTTGCAATTAAAACGGCAGTACAGAGTTTGGAAATATTACTTTTGGAAGGTTGTTGTTGTGTTCCTTTAACTGATTTATGGCAACCCTAGGGATTTTTTTGTGGGTTTTTTTGGGCTGTGTGGCCATGTTGTAGAAGAGTTTCTTTCTGACGTTTCACCAGCATCTGTGGCTGGCATCTTCAGAGAATGCTAGAATGGAAGAGAGTGGGTCTATATATACTGTGAGACCCTGGGTAGGGAGGAGTGATTCCCATGTAAACTGTATTGTTCTGTGTTAAATAGATATTGTTCTGTTGTTAATGGCATGGCTTCAGGGTGAGAGGATATGCAATCAAGGATATTGTCTGCTATTGTCTGCTGGGAATAGTATGGATGCCGACCATGAAAGCCTACGACCTCCCTAAGGGGTTTTCTTGGCAGGATTTGTTCAGAGAACGTTTGTCTTCCTCTGAGGCTGAGAGACTGGTAGACCAGTGGATTTCTATGGCAGAGCCCGGATTCAAAGCCATAGTCCAATACTCAATTCATTAAACCATACTGGCTCTTTTCCTTTTGGGAGGGGGAAAATTATTATTGTATTAAATTTATTAAATTATTTATTATCGTCTTTCCATCTCCCAATCTCCCACAAAAGTGTATACAATAAGGTGTATTCAAAATGTGCTTTAAAGCCATGCCATTGGTCAGGCTGGATAGGGGGATCTAGGAGTTTTACTCTTTTACAAAAGGAACTTTTCCAAAGTCTGCCCCAACAAATATCTGTCTGAAGTGAGCAGTGAGGTGCAAAACAGGTAATTTTGACTGAAAGAAAACAGCAGTGAGATGAAAAGCAAGCACTTGGGTTTTATAGCGAGATGCAATGTAAGGAAATGTCAAGAAAAGCAGATTTAGGTTAAACTTTAGGAGACGTTTTCTTGCAGTAAGAGCTCTTTGCCAGTGGAACAAACTGCTTCAGGAGGTGGAGGACCTATCATTCACTGGAGATACTTAATCGGATGTTGCTTAGCCATCTTTCAGGGATGTGGCAGACGTAAAATTTTTGCTCTGAGGTTTGGACTAAATGACCTCTGAGGTCTTTCCAGTGCAATCATTTTATAGGTTGTTTTTAAAAAGCCCCTGAAGGTATATATTTCTATCTTGAAAAACAACTCAGCCAAGAAAAACTTTGATGGCCCAGAGAACGATCTGTAAATGCATGGCGTCACGCTGTCTGCTTGGCACTCTCCGCCAACGGCGTAGGTGACATGCTCTCTGAAAATATAAGTCTGTGCAATTCTAGATCCACTCTGGCTGCCATTTTGCTGGGGGTGGAAACAGGGGGAAAGCACATGACATCATGTGAGTGAGAGTTAATGAGACAGGTTTGCAAACGTTTCCATTCAGTCGTGGGTTAAGACGTTGGACTCTTATTATTTCATAACAGACAGTGAAATAATGTGAGGTGTTGATGGCAGGGTGTGGTGAGAAAAAATTTCTGACATCAGGCATTTTTGGGGGGGCGGGATGGGGAATAAGGGGTAACATCTGTCTGTAGCAAGGGCCAAACTGACTGTTCATCATTTGATCTTCTGGGGTTTAAAATGTTAATTTAAAGGCAGCTGCCAGTTCTCTCCATTTGGATGCATTCATCCCCTCATTGTGGCACAGCAGTTAGAGAGCTGGAAATTTGATTCACATCCATGATGAGCCATGAAACTCACTCAGATTTTCTCAGGATTTATCCACACTGTACAATTATAACAATTCGATACCATTTTAACTCCCATGATTCCATCGAATGGAATCTTGATATCTATAGTTTGTTGAAACTACAGATCCCATGAGTCTATGATTCTATAAAGGACTTCTCTGTCAGAGAGCAACTGTAGTCTGACCACAGTTCCCAAGGCGCCCTGAGTGCCTTTCTACACAACAGAATTCAACTTTTAATCCTCAATCTCACTCTTTTCAGGGTGTCTTCTAAGTAGCTCATCAAACTACAGATGCCAGGATTCCACAGAGTGGAGCCATGCCGATGAATGTGGTATCAAACCACCCTAACTGTGCAGCATAGATACTTCCTGACAGCCTGACAGGGTTGTTGTGAGGATGAAGTCTTGAAGAGAGGAGCCACACCGGATTGCTTTGGATTTGCTAGAAGAAAAATTGGGGTAGAAAAGTGACAAATAACAAGTGTGGGGAGAGGCCTCATCCACCTTGTCCCTCCCACTCATGTTGTACCTTAAAACCTTCATGCACCCCCACACCTCCAGCTCTCTTTCTTGGAAATGAGCAGGCAGATTCGATGCCCAACTGACTGCATCCATTTTGAATCCAGAAATGGACAAGCCGCCTCATCTCCAGATCTTGGTACAGTTCTTTCTTTCTTTCTTTTTTTCAACTACACCCCCAGAATGCCCCAGCCAGCATGGCCACTGCTCAAAGTCAACTGAATCCCTTCCACTTTCCCACGCCAACACAGCCGTCCACCTTGGCGGCATCCACGGAAAGACCAGAGCAGCTGGAAAATTAAGAGCAGGAGAAGCCAAACTTCCTTGTCTCCTTTGCTGGGTCTTCGCACGATCATGCCTCATGTTGGTGGAACCAGAGGCTCCTGCTACAGGATTGTGAACCTTCATTGATTGTCTGGTAGCTTATCTGTCTGGGATTGAGCGAGTATGGATGTCCTCTGCTCTCTCCCTAGTCCCCACATCAGGAGTAGGTGAAAGTTTTCTGCCCAGTTGGAAGGCCATTTTCTTTGCAGCCATGAGAGAGGCTCATACATTCAGCCATTTTCTTAATTCAGCTAGAGGCTGTCCATGGACCACAACACAGAGTGCACTTTACTGCTCAATTTACGCATCTTATTTAAAAGAGTGCTTCCTTCCATCTTGTCTAGCTGCCAAGCTGGAATGTGTGGGCCCTGGAGTTGGGGGGCAGGGGCAGGAGGGCACACCCTCCCTAAAATTTGGCTGGGGCTGCTGAGCTTCCCCTGAAAAAAATGGAGCAAACAGGCCACCAAGTTGTTGTTGAGCCACCTTTGGAATTATCAGTCAAAGGTCTACTCAATGGTCATTATTTTGTTGCTTCTTTCCCGGTACGTAGTTGATTGCTATCCTCTTCAGTTGGATGATGGTAGAGATTGTTCTAATGCAATATGTGTTTTCATCGTTTCGTAAACCTTATCATTGTTGTTTCTGAATAGCAAATCTATCCTAGGGCTTTCTTGGCCAGATTCGTCCACAGGAGCTTTGTCCTGGCCTTCCTCTGAGGATGAGGCAGTGGGACTTGCCCGCAGTCACCCAGTGGGTTTCCATGCCTGAGTAGGGATTTGAAACCTGGTCTTCCAGAGTCCTAGTCTGGCACTCAAACCACTACACAACGCTGCCTCTCTAAAAAACCTGTAAGTAGTCATAATTAATAATAACCAGCCTGCTAATGTTGAGCTTTCTTCCCAAAAAAACAGCCTGACAATAGCAGCAGCCATCAGCCCCCAAAAGCGCCTTCAGGTTCATCGATGAAGACATCTCTGATCTGTTAGGGCAGCTTCCACCAACCTGGCATTCTCCAATCATGATCGAGTGCAGCTTCCATCCGCCCCATTCAGCATAGCCAGTGGTCATGAAACCTGGGCATTGTAGACCGAAATATTTGAAAGATTATAGACTGTCTTGGGCCTTTTTCATATCCTCTCAAATTGCTTGGGACAAATGAGGAGGAGGAGGAATTGAGAATGACGTGGCAAAGCAGGCGAATCACGCCATTTACAAACTCCTGGCATCTGCGATGCACATGAAGTGGGTGACTGGATGGGAGAACCCAAGCCAAGCTGAAGTTTGGGCAGCATGTGTTTTGGAGGGATCCCAGCCTTTTGGGGCTAGATGCAGTGGCATCTCTGTGTTTTGTGTGGTTCCTGGTGTGCTAGCCACAGCTGAAGAAACTGTGAAACCCAGACAATCAGCTGCTAATCCACAAGAAATGTAGCCCCTGAGGATAAGACTCAGATGGCAATGGAGCGAGAGGTTCAGACAGCTTTTCCTTACTCCCACTGCGACAGAGTTCTGGGGGAGGCGTTTACAAGGTCTGTTGGTGGCTTGTTTTCCAAGTCTCCTTATGTATGTACAAATGTATAACTTCAGCTAGAACAGAAAAAGCAGCCAATCAGACCAAGCCTTAAAAGCCGTTCAGATCAATCCCAGTGGCAACTAAGGTTGCCAATTCAGGATCATCCCAGGCCCTGAGGTTTTAGGGATGACCACTAGTCATTTCTTCAAGTGTTATGCATTAGATACCAATCACAGTCGTTCATAGCTTGTCATTCAAACACAGAGAGAGAGAGACTGAGAGAGAAAGAGAGAACCTATCTTCCTGCTTGGAAATTAGATCTTGGCTAAAGGGGCTGCTCCCAGATGAAAGTGAAATGAGGAGAATGCTCTTCCTCACTTACTTAGGAAGATATAATGAGCCTTTAATCTAGCCTATTTGCTTCTAGCCAGACGGTGAATGCAGAGGAGAGCAGAAGGTGAGCCCTGGCACCACAAGAACTGGGACAGAAGGAGGAAGATACCCAAGTATCTTCCCTTGGAGTTGCAGCAACAAATTGATGAAGCCCAGTCTTTTCCTCTTGCCTAGAGCCGAGCTTATCAAAACTGGAGAAATTGCACCAGAATCTCATGCCTGCAGATGACCCATGAATGCTGGAGGCTCAGAGCTAGGACCTGAGATATGGCAACCCCTGAGAACGTGCACGGAGGTCCCCCATCACTACACAGAAGCTGGGGAAAGGAAGACCTGCTGGTCTCGGGGTTCTTGTTTTCTTCCCAGCATCTCCACCCACCCGCCTCCAAAAATGTTTGCTGTGTTCTGGTTTCTTTCTCTCCGGCCTCAGATTTGGCCTATTATGAAAAAATAAACACACCATTATAACTACTCCGTGGCTGCACCACCGGCAGCTGGCTTTCATCTGTGAAATCTAAACAGTGGCTGAAGCATCAGTGCATGAATGTACCAGGGCTTATTTTGAGAATCTATATTTCGTGCCAGGGATCAAACCAATGGCATCTGAGTCCAAATCAAGGCGTTGATGTTTAAAATAGCTAGATCTGCCCCGATTCTTTGCAGGATGCACACATCATACCTACCAACATTTCACAGATGGCAAACTGGCATACATGGAGCCAAGCATCAGCTACCCAATGTGGTCAAACACCGCACTTCATTCCATTCTCAGCTGCCTTTAAAGTGTCCTGGCATCTCTCTCCTCCTCCCACTCTCTCCTTTTGTCCTCAGCTAACCTCAGTTGCTGCAAACTGAATTCACATTCACAGGAAAGGAATCTCGTCCTTCCCAGGACACTCAAGCAAAAGCAAACTGCAGCATCCTCTCCTAGCTTGTGTCTCTCCCCCCGACACACACACGCTTATCTCTTTTGTCATCTTGAACACACTCCAGCATTACTTGGCCACATGTGTCCCAGTTTTCCTCTGTGAAATGTCAGAAGGTGTAAGAGTATCTTCCTTTCTCATACCCACCTCCCCAGGAATTTAAAGCCTGTTTTCCCCCAGTCACTGAATGTGTCATTTCTAATTGGTTGTTGGACCCCTTTCCTGAAGATGATCTCTTTCTTAAAAAACAACAGCAAGAGATAAGCACTGGGGTCCTTCTCAAAAGTCTTCCTCTATTTTTGTCGCATGTGGCTTCTTGCAAACAGCTGTTGCAAAGGACAAACAACCAAGACCTTTTGGATCATTCCACTGAGATTTCCCTGGAAAAAGAAAAATACAGTTTTAGCCACTTGCCATAAGATTGCTGTTTAGAATAACCCTGCCACTCTCTTGCCCTGTAAACACCATGAGAAATCAGACATGGAGGAGAAGGAGGCCAAAAGTGGAAGATCGTGACATTGGAAGTAGCTATATCCTGCACAGACCTTGTCAGCCCTTCTGTATCCTTTCTTGTAAATGGGATGAGTCCTTCCCTGTTCTTTCCTGGAACTTATTGAGCTTTAATTTCTTTAAAACTGGGGATGAGAAGATGATCCTGAAGTCTTCCCTTTTCAAAGAACAGTCAAGAGGGGAGGGAAGGAGGCCTTGTTCTTGCTTCTTATTCCCTGCTCCCAAATCGTATACACAACCTGAAATTGCCATTTGCTCCCCCTGAGGACACTGTTAGATCCATGAGGACTAGAATCTTATTTCAGGATACATTTCAAGTTCAAATCGAACCATTTTCAATGTCTCCTTCTCTGAAATGTTAGAAATTTGGGGACAAGGAGGAGAATTTCATTTGGAGGAACATAACTCTTTATTATGCCAGTCTGGCATAGTGGTTTGAGTGTTGGACTCCAACTCTTGAGACCAGGGTGCGATTCCCAGCTCAGCCATGAAACCCTCTGGGTGACCCACTGGCAAATCACACTCTCTCAGCCTCCTGAGGGGAAGCCAATGGCAAACCTCCTCTGAACAAATCTTGCCAAGAAAACCCCATGATAGGGTTGCCAAAAACTGGAAACGACTTGAAGGCACATAAACAACAACAACAACAGCAACAAAAATTATTTAGGAGTACAATGTCCTCATTTTATCCCCCTCCCAAAAATAGTTACAGGTCCAGAAGGTACTCCTGGTTTTGTGTGGTCTTTTGGACCAACCCAGCAGGTGAGTTTGGAAGAATTGCAAGCATCCAAAGTGACTTTTCCAAGCTCATCAACCCTGGTTTTAGTCTTCACTTACCGTAGTACCACTGACAAATTCAAGCTTGTTTCCATCCTAGCTGGTTATAAAAACTTGGTGCTCCACTTTCCCCACTTTTCTTTGTTTACATCCCGAACATAAACAGAGGGGTGGTGATACGAGCCCCTTCCAGTCGCTTTTGGCAAGTTGCACGTGTGCCTTTGAGCGAGGCCAGGAGTCCAGCCGAGTGTTTCTTTACATAATTATATCTTATTACCGCTATGCAAATAAACGCTCAAGATTTGCGGTGAGCTACAATGACACATGGTGTGTGTCGGGGGGAGTTGGTTCCTTGGATTTGGTTTTTGTGGGGAAAGAGAGTAGGAGAGATGCTGGCAGTAAAACTCTCCCAGAGGATGATCCAACATGGAACAGAAGCGAGATGCTTTGCCTGTTGCAATGGCTGCCAGATCTGATGGTTTTAAAAGGGAATTAGGCAGGCTCATGGAGAAGAAGCAGTCTGCCTGTGGTTTTTGGTCATGAGAGAGAAATGAAATTTCGTTGTAAGAACTTAAGAAGAGTCTTGATTGTCATAACATTCCCTACAACTACTGTATATACTCATGTATAAGTCTAGAAATTTTAGTAAAAAAAATTTACCCCCAAAAATATGAATTGGCTTGTCCATGGGTCAATATAAGTACTAGACCTTAACTCTTATTGAGAAAACATTAAACATCCCTTGTAAGAGCGTAATCTGCCCTGGAAACACTGACTCCCTTCTACTTTCTCATCCATCCAGCCTTTAGTGTGAGCACAAACAGTTGTGCCTGCTGAAATTTGTAAGTTCTTTGGCATTGTTTTCCTTTGCTTCATCCTTTAGATCCTTTGTTATATTTCCCTAAGTTTTACCCTTGATTTATCCACAAATCATATCAAAATCCATAATTTTGGCCCCAAAACCTGTCCCCGACTTATACATGAGGTTGACTTATAGCTGAATGTATATGTATTCTGATTTGGTTGGAGCAGTCCTGATTAATCTTCTGCCATCCCACTTTTTCAGCTGCTTGTAGAATGCCCTGGTTTCTCTCTGCTCCACTTTCTTTCTTCGTCTTATTTCAGTTGCTGCAAACTGAATTCAAAGTGTAAAAGTAAGGGCCTTTGCAGACTGCTAGAAATAGTGCAAACTGAGTCCACTTTAACTGCCCTGGCTCAATGCTAGGGAATCATGGGAATTGTATTTTTTTCTGAGACATTGAGCCTTCTCTGTCAGAGAGCTCTGGTGCCACAATAAACTACAGTTCCCATGATTCCCTAGCACTGAGTCAGGGCAGTTAAAGTGGACTCAATTTGCACTATTTCTGGCAGTCTGTAAAGGCCCTAAGTTTGCCCTCCACAAATTCAATAGAAGGGAGAGGAAAAAGGGCAGAATTTCATCCTTTACAGGAGGTGCAGGCAAAAGCAAACTACTGCAGCCTCTCCTAGCTTGTGTGTTCTTCCTCATTAATAACTTGGTTTGTGTCGACCACAGTCTGATGTTGCTTTGCCACATGCGTCCCGATTTTGATCTTGTGAAATGATGGAGGGTGTGCACATGGAGAAGGGGAAGCCTGTCTGTGATGCCTCCGTTTGGGAAGGATCTTGACAATCTGGAACGTATCGAGGGAAGGGTGATCAAGATGATCAAAGGTACGGAAACCACCAAGCCTTATCGG